CAGACAAGTGCTTATTCTCCTGAGCCATCTCCCCGGCCCCTCAGATGAGCTTTGATGGTGCTCTTTGCTTCCTGAGGGGCAGTGTGCTACCCATGTATCGCCACGACTCAGTTACATCACCTGCAATTTGAAGATAGGGACCAAAAAAGAGGATGCTGTATCTTCCAGATAAGGTCACGAGACTATAATTAAGGAGCTACGTGGCAATGTGCTCTGAAAAGCCAAAAGTGGAATATGAAAAGCCAGAAAGTTAGTATAGAAACAGGCTCTTTTGTTGCTATATTACTGAAACTAAACCTTTACAGATTTAAGTCCAAGCCAATTCTTAGAGGACATACCACAGTAACCCCTTCAGTTTTATCAGGGGCTTTTCTCTGCCTCAAAACACTGAGGTTTATGTAATCTATACTGGATTTATGCGTGTGTCTTTACATAGAAAACACTGAGGGAAGCAAGATAGTAATTAATTAGTAAGTTACCTTTGAAAAAGAAAAACATAAGGTATTTGTTGAGTGGAATAAAGTACTCTGCTATAAACAAAGTCTCTGGAATTTTTAACACTATTTAGAAAAATTTTAACATAGTCCATCCTGATTATCATTTTATAGTACAAGAATATGGGTTAAATTCTCATCTGATTCATAGGGGACTGGACCAATTTTCAGGTGGCATCGTGAATGTGTACAGATTTCTTGTAGTAGAGTGGTCCTCTCCAATAGAAATATTGAAGAGCTCATCAGACATTGGTTTATGAACAAATGTGAGGTGAAGGCAAAAAGGCAAAATGGCTTTGAGGTGCAGTGGTATGTCAATGAATTAGAAAATATTTTTAGAATTTACCTTTTTAAAAAAAATTTTATTTAATTTTTTTTTTTTTACTTTTATGTATCTGGTACAGGGTCTCACTATGCAGCTTGGACTCGTAGTGATCCTCAGTGCTGGGATTACAGGCATGCACCACCAAGCCCAGACTGGGTCACCAGCTCAGAGCAACTGAGGTAGGGCCAGCCAGGAATGGGGTACCGGGGACCAAACCCCAGTCCTTGTGCTCGCCTAAGCAGGCACTTAGTCCGCTGAACTATCTCACTGGCCATTGCCCATTTTTAATTAAAGGTTAAGATACAGATACTCTAGAGTCGCCAATTTGTCTTTCATAGATTAGTGTACACAGAAAAAGGAATAAGCAACAAGCACTCACCTTTCCCAGTATTTGTGATTTAGCTCCAAAAAGTCATCCAATTTTGCTATCTCTTTGAGGTACTGAGTTAATTTTAAAAGTTCTTTGTCTTTATCTCGATTTAGGTGTGCTTTCATAAAAGGCCTTATCTAATAGGAAACAAAATTTCATACTGTGATAAGGAAAACTAAAAACCCTATATACTAGGTCTATCATGTAGTTTTAAGAGCTAAGATATGGCCAAAGACGTCAACACTAAAATTATCTTTATATGAGCCTTATTTTTATGTAGTTCACAGAAAGTGAGGCATAATCTCTACAGTACAAATTAAAGGCTCTCCCAACTACTCTACCTGCATCCTTTCAGGCTGAAACTACCACTTTTCTCACAGCACTCAAGCCCTATATGGTTACTTTACTTTGCAAAACAATTTACACTATTTTCCCATCCATCATTTTAGGTACTTTCTACTAATTAATTTTATTTACACTAGTGTATTAAAAAATTTAACCCAAATACAAGCTCGATCTAATTGGAACATGAGATAAATTTTAAGTGACAATTCTCACGTTAGTATTCTCATTGAAATTTTTATATACCTGAAACAGCATCACTACACATTCAGACACATACACACATACATAATACCTGCTTTCTGCCACATTTAGTCATTAGGCATTTTTCGTTATCATTAAATTTCCACAGAAGTCATTAAATTGTACAAGTTTCTTATAAAGAATAGTCACATTTTCCAAATTTTTAAGGTTGACACACTTGGTAAGGAAAAGCACTCATTTAAGAAGCATCACTTCGAACTATACATCTGGACAGTGTGGTGACCAAAAGCACAGGATTCCATGTCTTGACCTGGGTGGCACTTATGTATGTGTTACCGTGTTAAACAGTAAAGTTTATGTTAACACCTCAATAAAGTAAAGTGTCTTTTCTTTAAAAGACATCAGCTCAAATATCTTCATACAATTCAAGATGGTCTGTCAACCTTTTTAATTAATTTTTTTTTTGGGGGGGTGGAACTGGGGATTGAACTCAGACCCTTGCACTTGCCAGGGAAGCACTTATCCCACTGAGCCGTTTCCCCAGCCCCTTTTAATCAATTTTGAATAAAATGGTGTATCTAAGGAGAGTCACATGGAGAGAAAACATTTTCTCAGGCTTTCACAGAAAGTAAATTGGTCAAGCAATAGCCGTGACTCATCCACATGGCTGAAACTGACAAAGGATCTACAATCTGAGGTACAGTATCTCAGAATAAATCTTGAGGGGATTTCACTGACCTTATCAGATCCAAAAGCTACAATTCTTGTTATATAGGTCTTGCTTTATCTTGGTCTTAACTATCCAGCAGAAAAGTATAAAAATGAAGTACAAGAAATAAAGTCATGCTGTTATGTTGAGCTATACGGGACTCAGGTCAACAATTTCTGACATTGCCAGTCAAGTGGAAGACCCAATACTATTATGGACTACTGGACTATTTTGAAATATTTTGCGGAGTTAACACACTTATAATATTTAAATGATGGACCTAAACAAAAAAAAAAGGGGATACAGATGAATAACCATTTTGTATCTGTGTATTCAAAACAGGATAGACATATAGCTACATTCTCTTAATTCAAGGAATAGAGGGATTTGTTCTAATAGTGTTTGTAAATAGTATATCATGTCTGCATCTTGTACAACAAATAAACACTAGGAAGGCAGTATGCAATGTGTTAATTATTGGAACTGTCCTACCAATTTGATTTGAAACGATCTCATTGTCACTTATTTCTCAATAAAATTATGGAAAAAAAATAAAATACATGGTGTATCATGGATTTGTTTTCAAATATTAAGGAGACAAAAGGTATGCAACAAATAAAACTGTCCATGAACTTATAAGCTACTTAGATACTACTTATACAGGATTCATTATATAATACTACATAATTCTGTACAGATTTTTTAGCTGTGAATTATCTTTTTGAAAATGTATTTTAATGTAATAGAACAAAATTTAACAAAATAACTACACAATTTGTTATTCTATAGTTATTCTATATAGTTGTTCTACAGGTAGTATCACATCATGATCTTAAAAGAATGGTAAAAATAAACTAACATTTATTTTGAAATATACATTATTTTTATTTGATTTTCATCTCTTTTCACACACACATACACAGGGTTGGGTGGGTAGTTCAATGGGAGAGCCTGGTTTCAAGCTTCAGCACTATAAAAAACCAAAGCAACTAAGTCACACAGCTGGGTGTGGTGATGCACGCTTCTATTCCAAGCACTCTGGAGGCTAAGGCAGGAAGATTGTGAGTTGGCGACCAGTCTAGGCTACACAGGAAGTGGAACACACAGTGACTGCCTGTCTTAAAACAAAAAAACCCACACTCCCCTGAAGCACACAGGATGTAAGAACTGAATAAATCATAAAGTACTAAAATCCTTATTCTACATGGAAAAAAGCAGTTACTGTACACAGTATTGCTAGGGATGTAGCTCGGCAGAAGAGTGCTTGCCTAGGATGTCTGAAGACCTGGGTTGGGTCCCAGCATCACAAAACATCAGAAAATGCTAACATTTAATCACCCTCATTTACTACAAAAGCAAAAACAGTAAGTTAAAGACCATATCTATCAGCAGTAAAAATTTTAAATATATTTTCCTTCTGTCACTAGTGAAACAGATTACCATCCTTAAGTGGACAGAAGAAAAATTTTCCAAATGTTCTGCTCTCGTTGAACAGCTGGGTACAGAGACCGCCATAGCTGTGAGCTGACCCTGCCTGTCGCATGGGAGGACAATGAGGAGGACCAGCAAAGCAGGTCTACAGAGCCCATGGACTGCGGAGACACTTAGGAAAGGCATCGCCAGCTGGCAGCGTTACTTCTCAGCGGCACGAGTGCAGACCCTCTCCTGCACCCTGCGTAAGCTCTAGGCTGGGAGTGAGCAGGGGCACGGTGTGATGGCCCAGTAGAAGGGGTGTCTGCAGGACTATATTAAAGTATTCCTTCACTCAACTCCTAAAGAACATAAAAGCAGTGTGTTTAACTTTTGAACTACTAGGATATAATACATCAAAAAGATTTTATGGGGCCGAGGAGATGGCTCAGTATAGTAAGTGCTTGCCTGGCAAGCACAGGGGTCTGAGTTCAATCCCCGGTTCTGACAAAAAAAAAAAAAAAAAAAAAAAAAAGGTTTTATGCTTAAAGAGCTAGAAAGAATTCAGAACTGAAAGAGAAAGTACAGGATCAAAGCTGGTAAGATTTTCAATCCAAAGCCCTAAGTTATTTTTACAATCTAAACATTTGGTCTTAAGTACTATTAAAAAAGCAATCAAAGGCAAAAAGAAATGCATTATTCACCTGACCACTTGAACATTTTCACAACCTAAGTGCTAAACTTGCAGGGCAGGCAACATGTATAATCAATATGTTTCATATCAAAAAAAGGTTTTAGAAATACTGTGCAGATTAGCTGAATTCTCTTATATTATCATTTCTTTACACAGATAATAAAAACAAAGTTTTCACACCTATTGGTCAGGATTTTTAGTTCACTTTTATATTCATATTCACAATGCCTTACAACGAATCTCAAGACAAGATAGCAAGCCTAGGTTATTAGATGTTAACTATCTAAGAAATACTAAGTTTTAGCTAAATAGGTTTAGATCTATATGAATCTTTTTTGAAATTTCTACTGTTCATTTGAAACTGTGACAACAAAACACAATGATTTAACAATGTTGGTCAATATAGGAAATTCAATGCCAATGTGACATATCACCAACAATGACCTAAAAAGTTCTCCACAGGAGACAAGCAAGAGGTCTCCTGTGCCTGGCAAGTACGAAGTCTCCAGTTAGATCCCAGCCACTTCCTGATTAAAACTTTTGAGGGTAGGGGCTATGTATTTTTACAAATTCTTTGAATCTGAGTAGCCCCGTTTAAAAAAAAAAAAAAAAAGCCTTGTTGTAAGGTAAAGAATCAGAAATGTGCAACAACATTTCTCCCTGCACTAAGAGATAAATATGGTTCAAATACTGGCTGGAAAAATAAAGTGTCTTCTAAACACACCAAAAAAACCAGCCTGTACTTTTTGAAATGCTAAAAGTTCCCTCAAAATTCACTTCTTAAACAGTACTATTACATCTTGCAAAAACAGGTAATAGCCATGAGTTTCATAAACTGTCATTCAAATCTCTCATCAAGACTCAACTACACCTTTCTGCCCCCTACACCTGGTCAACTATACAGGAAAATCATTTCTCCCGAAGCTTCCAATAGAAGTCATTTCCTTAGGCAAGTGCACGGATCGGTGCACCACATACTGCACTGGCCCCACCCCAGGACACACAGAGTTGGCCACCAAGAGCAGGCATGGTAGCGCACACCTGTAATCCCAGTGCTGGGGAAGCTGAAAACAGGAGGATCACTATTGAGTCTGAGCTGCACAGTGAGACCCTCCACAACAATAAAAAAAAAAAAAAAAGTTATTTCCTAAGGGTAATGTCATACTTTTCTTCTAAGTCAACACCTTTTATATTTGTGGCAAAACTATACTCACTATACATTAAAGACCAAATCAACAATCTGTAAGGAAAGTCTCAAAAATGTATTTCACGTTTTTCTCTATTATCTCTTAAAACTACCAAAGCTGGCAGAAAAGTTCAGCACTGAAACGAAAATATCTTAGTATTAGGATTTCTACTCCAAATGGAGACTCCATTCATACTATATAGTACCATGTACAGAAATGTATTTTTCCATTTTCTTGTAACAACATATAAACAACCATGAGTACCAGAAATTCTTATTTTTCAAGTCTATCTCTTCCCAATTTCATACTGCTGCCAGGTTCAGAATGTAACTGTCACACCTACACAAATTCCATTTGGCTGCATGCCAAGACCATCACTGAAGCAGGAACCAACCACTTACACACCTGATCCTGGGCAAGTCATGACTTTCCTCACCCTCAGGCTGAGGAATGCTGAAGTTAGGAAAGCAGACAAGATAACTGGGATTCCTTCTAGCTCTGACATTTTTTAGTTCTAAGATCTGCACTTGGAGCATATGAATTTTGAAAACCTCTTAAACTTTAGCTTAAAAAGGAAAACACCATTAGTTCCAGCTATGCAGTTAGCGAGAACACCAAAAATCACAAGGTCTATAATTCCTCATAACATATGTAATGATTTCACTTCCGATGCTAAAATTCAGTCTGTAAGGCCAGGACACGCACCCAAGTCTAACTAAAAATAAAACACTTTGGAGCTCCAGGCAGCAGTGCACACCAGCAATCTCAGCACTTGGGACTAAGGCAGGAAGGGCACTGCACATTGGAAGCCAGCCTCTATTACACAGTGAGTTCAAGGCCAGCCTGTACTACCCAGTGAGACCTTCTATCCAAAGTAAATAAACATAATAAAATAATGGGACGTCTTGGCTAATTAAAGAGCTACCAAAGTAAAGTCAGGTTGTTCATTTTTACATGAACTTCTCCAAATACTTTTTTCTTACCTGTGGCCACGTGTCACTTAGTAACAAGGAAACTTGCTCATAGGCAATTTCACCACTGTATGAAAATCACAGAGCACCCTAATGTGGACTTACATGTTACAGCACACTGCATGCCCAGGTTTTACTGTCGAGTCTGTTGCGCCAAGGCTACCAACCTGTACAGTATGCTACTATTATGGCAGCATGTGCTCTGCCCACCAGGGGCTGCAGTCTCTCAGAGGTATGGAAAGGGACATCCTGGACACAGCAGCACCCCAGCCTCTCCTCCAGACCCTACAGAGGAGGGTAGCAGTGTCTGTGATTGAGGCTGCCTCAGGTAAGGAGGAAATGCTTGGAGCAGACAGAGGCACTGGCCCTCCCTCCTGAGTAAATAAGGCTCCAAGGTCTTGCTACGTAATCCAAGCTGCTTTAAACTATGAAACTTCCAGTAACTGTGAGCTAACCAAACCTTTCCTTTCCTAAGTTTGAGTGTTGGGTATTTGTCCCAGCAACCAGAGAAGAGTAACTAAGACAGTTCTAGTCTGAATACTGTAGGCAACTGTAATGAATGCTAAGTATGCATCGAAGCAAAGACAAGATTCAGTAAAAATACTAAGAGATAGGAATTTCTCTCAGCTTCTTAATCTTATGGAACCACCCTCAGACATGTGGTCAATGACTAAGAACAAATTAAGCAACAGCACTTGACTGCATTTTTAAAAATTTATGAAACTCAACAGTGCTGAAAAGTTCCACTACAAAGTCCAGATTACTTGACCATATAAACGCATAGCTTACCTTCAGTCCATTCTGTGGGTTCATTAGGAAATTTCTTCCTATGTCATCAAACATAATGGTATTCTTCTTGCTGTAAAACTCGGAAAACTTTCCCCAAATAACACCAAGAGGCTTTACCTTAGAATAAAAATTTAGATTTGAGTCCAGTGTTTCTTGGCCTGTTGGCTAACATCAAGTGCAGGTTTAAGTCCAATCTTTTCAATGGTTAATCCTTTGTTAAAAGCAAAGCGGCTACTAAATGGTGGAACAAAGCCAGAGTTCCCTTCCTCCAAGACCGTGATGATTGGGTGAGCCGCCTATGCACAGCACAAGTTCAGAGCATGATGTGAACTTGCAGTGTTCACATTTCTGCAGTATGTTTATTTTCTAATCAAACGAAACACATTCTAAGACTTGCCATAACTCCAACATGAAGGTTCTGGGACAAGAGTGGTTATTTAACTTGAAAAGGATCCAAAGCAACTCTTTCATCTGCTGAGCAGTCACATGACTTCCTGAGCTACTACACGCCCTCTCAGAGCTCACTGAGTAAATATTTTTAAGAAGACACAATTTCCTAATTGCTAGTGTATTTGATAAGTTATCTTCAATAGCACCATAATTTGTAAATTCTTGCTCTTATTTCAGAATTCTTAAGAATGATTCTTGCTATAGTTGCTCCCACTGGTGCTGCTTAGTTTCTGTGAGACCACACAAGAGGTAACACCACTTGTCTATATGGATGATAAACAGCTGAGGGGAGGAGGGTTTTCTTTTTTTTTTTTTTTGAGAGTTTTCATTATGTTTGCCTTTTGCTTGTGAATTGCATAACTATGGTACAAGTTAGGAACTTCTCTAAATAAGTAAATTTTTAAAAGACAAGTTTTGCAGAAGGCAGAAAGTTCATTCATGGTAATGTTAATAAGATTTCTATATTGAACATTTCCTAAATTTCTTTGTGATGCTTAGCTTTTGGAAATATATTTTACTTTAGTGGATAATAAGGTATGTTTCCCTTGACATATGCCGTATTTCTTTCATGAATGGATCCGCATGCACTTAAGCCATTCTATTTATAACTTCCATGATTTTAAAACTCTCACCAAGCTTTCCTAGGGTGCGCTGCAGTCCCTGCCTATGTGCTTCCAAAAGGCACAATCTGCTTAGCTCCTCTCTTTTTTACCAGCAGTGCCTCACAGGGCTGTGCAGACAGATGTTCAGGCCTGCTAGTCACGCGGGGAGCACACACAGCCAAAACCCCTCACCTCTTCAGCCCAGTCCTCCTCTCTGATGGCTCTTGTTCCTATTCTCTAGGACTACGTGTGTATCACCCCAAAGCACATGTACTACGACGAAACACCTGCTTTTATCAGCATTTTCACACAGGGCAGTGAGTGTGCTTTGGGTTGTCCCTTGTGCCTTCCTTGATCATACTCGTGTTTTTCTCACCTACTTTATCAGGCAAAACTGCTGTCACCCTCACAAGACAATTATCCTTGACCACTGTGCTTTCTTGACAGTCCTGCTTTATTAAAATTCAAATTTTTTAAATTTAAAAATCATTTTTCAATGTCCAATTGCACGACAACACTAAGTTTTGATGTCAAAACTGTCACTTTACTATCCACTCAGATGAATTTCTAAACTCCGTAATTTACTCCATCAGTATACATACAGAAACTACACTAGAAAATAAACATGTCTTTAAATAAAAGTAAATCAGATTCTTACATCTATCAGTCCTCTCCTTGGGGTATGCACTGTTATCATAGCAGCACTGTCCAACATGAAGGTAATCTTATAATTTGCATTGGTACTCACTCCCAGTTCCTAGAAATGTAAGTATTTAGGAGATTAAATTATAATAATATGGAAAATTCAAAGATTTTTTTTTTTAATATTCCAGCTGCATTTTCCCCAAATCCCAGTTTTCTACACCACTGGCCATTCATCTTACTAAAGTGTTTTAATTTCACTTAGTTAAATCAACAAATGGTAGTTCAGGAAAAATAAACTAGAAAGAAACTAACAAAAAAACCTAATATAAAATGAGAAGAAAAAAGGGAAAGTTTAGCCATACTTTTTCTTGAAAACAGTTCAGGCATGCACTACAAACCACCATGACAGAAACTTTAAAGACATTTCTACAACCAACATTCACATCTATTTATCTACTAAATGTCTGCCAGTAAGAATAAAATTTAGTTTCAGAACTTTTAACAAGACAGTTTCAAATCATTTTAAAATAGCTGTTTCTAACACTTACTTTCATTTTAGCTTCAATCCACTTCATATTTGTCGCAGCTTAAATATAAGAAATATACAAAACATATGAAAGGTTAGAATTTCACTTACAAGATCCACATAAATAAATTTTCCAAAACAGATACATCACAAATAATAGTCCTATCATGTATGGAAATTTTCTTTTAAATAGTCATTAAATAGTCTCTACTAGAAAGAATAAAGCTTAACCAATGTTTACCTATAAAACAGCAACACTCAGAAGATTCCAAACCTAGGAAACTTTTAAGACCCAAATCCCAATTCCAAACTTAAAATTGTCTGTTTTGTTTTTTTGGTGGAACTGGGGATTAAACTCAGGCCCTTGCGCTTGCCAGGCAAGTAAGTGCTTATTCCACTGAGCCATCTCCCCGGCCCCCCAAAATTAAAATTGGGATGCCTGGATTTTAACTTTCTTTCATGTTGCTAATTCTAGGAAAAGAACATATATTATATGTATATACATGGTTTAGTAAACAATGTTGAGTGAAGCATTTTATAACAAAGAAAGAGAGACAAATTTATAAAGTATTTACCTGTGTTGCATATCTGCTCACTGTCAGACATCGACCAATGTGGAGACTGCTGATACTAAGTTACAAAACCATTTCTACATGCTCTCCTGGTCCTAAGTTACTGGACTAAATTACATAGACATTACCAAGAAAAAGGTTTAAGAACAGGGAAAAAGTAGTTTAACTACTTAAAGGATGTGTATATGTGTATGTAAATAAAGATGAAAGAGGTAATCTGAGTCCTCAAAGCAAAAATATTCAGTACGTACACATGAAAGGAAAAAGAACTGCCTTAACACGCAAAACTGATCAGTTGACTAAAATCTGAGAGACTATGGTAGCTACAATAAAAGCAGATACAAAATGGAATTTTTTTAATTTAGTATTTGTTTTGTGTCTGCAATTCCCAGATGATAAAGAAATTCCTAGCTAACAGTTTCCCAGTATAAAAAGTAACTAGATGTCTGATGTGGAACTGCCGCCCCAGTACTTCCTGCTCCCCTTAGCTGCTGGTACATCTGAGGTACACAGGCACAGCCTCGCAGGAACTGTACACACTGCACCGCAATCATTTCCTCCTCTTCCCACACTCCTGTCTTCTACACCCAATTCCTTGTCTACCTCCACAAACCTACTTCACCTTTCCTACTATCTTTTATTTTCATCTTTATTTGTATTTTAGGTTTATCATTATTTTTCAGTGAGGAAACTAAGGTTCTAAGAGATTCAGTGACCTGTCAAGGTCACATAGTAAAGACAGAGCCAGAATTAAAACCCTAGTTTATTCAGTTCCAAAGCGAAGTACCCTTATCAATACACAGCCACAAAGTATCATAACTTACCAAAATAAATAAATAAATACATAGAAGTTATTTAAACTTTTAAAATAAATTAGTTTTAAGACAAATTCTCAAGGCCGGCCAAATAACTCAGTGGATTAAAGCGCCTGCTTAGGCAGAGCCCAGTGGCCTGGTTCGATCCCTGTGTGCTGTGCCGGCCCCTCATGCAGGGCACGCTGAGATGGCGATTGAGACTGGGCGTGGTGGCGCACGCCTGTAATACCAGCTTTTGGGAGGCTGAACACAGGCAGATCACTATGAGTCCCATCTACGTAGTGAGACTCGGTAGACCCTTACTAAAAAAATACAAAAAAAAAAAGAAAAAGACAAATTCTCTCAAATAGAATCTCAGACATCAAGTTGTAGAACAAAAATCTGTTAAGCAGTGGGCTCTCTCCTCCTTACAGTATTAAACCAGAAACATCAGTATTGTTTAAGACACGGTCTTGATTTGCAGTTCAGTATGTACTATAGTTCAGTACTACACACTCACTACGCAGCCTCGAACTCACGGCGATCTTTCTGCCTTGCCACCCAAGTGCTGAGATTGCAGGTGTGCACCACCATGGCTCAAATTATCAAATTTTTAACCTGCTTTTAATCTTAGCAGCTGTCAACTTCTATTATCACTGGCTAATGAAAATTAAAGGGTAATTACAAGGAAATTTACAGACTATAACCCACTATCTAACTTCTCATCGAAGACTCATTCAACTGAAGGCAGCACAGCACCTCTAATGGATGGCATTTTATTCAATTCACAATGAGAACTACTCCTTGCTTACAATATTAACAAGCAGCAACTTTAAATGTTTGTACAAATGTGGGACATAAGTCAATGCATTGCTTCATTTTATCACAGACCTGTATGTTCTTAGAGTGACCTAGAGAGTACATTATGAGTAACACTGCCTCAGTCTATAGCAATTTTCCTTGTGTAACCTACATTGCCTTTTAGTTTTGTAGACAGCGCTACAGTTTAAGAAAACTTATTTTTCTCCCAGGGTTTTGAAACTAGAGGGCAAGAAAGAAAACGACACCCTGTAATACCAAGGATTCTACCATGAAAATCAGAATAATTTCTACTCTACATCAAGACATTAAAAAACTAAGACCATTTTCATTCTGACACCATGATCTGTTTTTGTCCTGTATTGAAACTACTGCAGTGCTATGTTCCACATATAGGTCTGTTTATACACAAGCAAGAAAGCCAAACATGCTTTAGTTTATGAATTTCCTAAAAAAAGAAAACTTCCATATTTACATAGGTCTTTTTAACTCATGTGTTTTATACGACAGAATAACATAAGGAACCTTATTTCCATGGAAATCTAAAAAGATATATAGCTTACACCAAATAACAATGTCATAATCTTCATATGCAGATGTTAGGAATTCATGAAGATACGGCCGCATTAATTCTACCCCAGTCTCTGCACAAGACCTATGATCTAAAACAAAATTGATCAAAATGATTATTAGTTGGTTACTGTGGACAAATTGACACTGAACGTATTATGAAATGCAGTAACTGTGAAATGTAACATAAACGTCCAACTGCACACTGCTAGGGTTCAAATAGCCTGGCTGACACTTACATCTCACAACACACAGAACTTAGTAACCTTGAGCTCCAATTTTTACTCATCAGTTTTCCTCAAAGCATAAACAGCAATACTGAGAACTGTGGCTTATACGGTACGGTGCAGATATTTTCTCATTACTCCCTAAACTTCAAACAGTCTCTCTGAAAATTAAAACGAGGCCCCCTGTATTCACATTCAGTCATCACCCTGCAGATGCAATCACATCCAACCAAAGGACGCGCCCGATTTACTTAGTAATCTTTACGTGTATGTTAAGTTACGAAACACGAAGTCTAGGAACAGAGGTAAATAGACCACAGTGCCAGCAAATACTTCCTCATAGTACAGAATGAAAAAAACATTTTTTTCAATTGACATGATAAATTCCAAATTTAAGAAACTAACTGAATATAATTAAGCAGAAACAAAGATAAAACATCCAAAATTACTTTTTAAATATTTCTCATAAAAAATGTAAATATCAATCAGAAACTACCAAGCTAAATTATGATGCAATATATAGAACAAATATTTAATGACTGAAATGATCTTCTATCTATAGTTAAGTAAAAAAAAAAAAAAAAAGGAATACATACATACACACTAGAAGATACACACCAAAATATTAAGAGTGGTCATCTTTGGGTCTTGAAATTACAAATGACTTTTTTTCATCTGTATTTCCTACAGTGAATGATTTACTTTTGTAATAATAAGAAAAGTTTTCAAATATTTCATGTGAACCCTGAGTTGCTGGAAAAAAACAAACAAAAGAAAAACAAAAGTTGTTGTGGGAACAGAAAAGGAAAAGCACCATTAACTGACTTACCAAACAATGTATAATCAACATCTAGTACCAACAGCTTTTTTCCTTCTCTGGGAGGATTCAGTATTTCTACTTTGTACTCTTTGACTCTCCGAGAAATTTTTAACAGATTTTCTTCCCTAAAGGGAAAAATAAAACCAAATGAAACATGTACATTTTCTCATGTGACAATCCCTTCCAAAGGAAAAGGACTTGCCTGTTTTCCACTTCAACTACTTCATCTTCAATATCAAAGTCATTGACAACATCGTCATTGTCAGGGGGCGGACCCAAGACATCTTCCTATTAAGATGGAAAACAGCTTTACCATACTGCCTTTCACCTCATAAATACATTCACAGCATAAAACTCAAATGAAGTACAGTCTGAGCTCAAGACTCTTTCAAACAAAAAGTTCCACAGTTAATAGCTCATTATATGAGTCCCCTGGACAGATTTACCATGTTCAATTTGACCATTTGGCTACTACTACACTTACAGTTAACTACTTACTAAAAAGGTCCCCAGCACTTATTTTCTGCTGAGTTAACACTATATTCATTGTATAGCTTTTATCTTTCACGGGCCATGGAGACTGAGTTTGCCACAATTAAAATTATAAATCATATTATCTTCAACGGGACAAATGGTAACAAAAGTAAACATTTACCAAGCTCTCCTCACGAGTTCCCATCATCATGATTTTAGTATTTGGTTTCAGTTTGAGAGCTCCAAGCTTAACATCATTTTCTGCAGGTTTGCCTACAATACAAGCAGACGACTGTTTCTCACTAAAGTTCAGGTGCTAGTTCCGCTATCCCATTATACAAAACCCTAACATTAAAAAGGTTGGGTACAGAGACAGCAGTTTTGGAATTTTGTTGCCTTACGTTGACAAATTATTACTGCTGAATTAGTCTCAGCTCGGTCTAAGAAGTCACAATTCATGCAAGCGTTGTTTTCCTTCATTCCATCCTACTTTATTCAACTAAATATAAATTCATGTTTTATTTTACAGTGCAAGACAACACTTTGTCAGGAAGCCTTGAAAATCAAGTGCCTAAAATAAACTACAGACTTACAGTTACTCAAAACCCACCCTTCAATGGTAAGACATACGTCAGCAACACAAAAGTCCCTTTTAGCTGAATATGAACACTACCTATGAATTTTAAATATCACTTCTACCTTTGAAACAGGAGAGATTATTTGTGGAGAGAACAGGGCCCAAGCTGTAACGAAAACACTGTGCCAAAATGCAGATGTTAAAAACAAACATTTCACCTGAGATTTCTATGCCAAGGCTTTAGGACACAAATATCAACTGTCAGAGGAATCAAAAGTAACCTTACTGGTAGCGTTCTCATGCAAGCTTTCACATTATCCTTTTTACCACTGAAATAATTTTAGAAAAACACTTAACAAAGAAATCTCAAGAAGGAAAGATTATTTAAAATAGGTAGCATCAAATATAAAACAATTCATAAATGTTAATGTAAAAGATGTACAGTAAGGAGAAAATTACCTTTCACTTTGAGTCCCAGTAATTTCTGGCGTTCTGGCAGCACTCCAGTAAGGGTCTTGAGAAACTGTTTGAGATCAAGCACAGTATCATCCTCCGAAAGCGTGGTCACTGAATATTCCTGTCCACCCCATTTTACAATGATTGGAAGAGCCATTTCTGAAGCATATGAAGTGGCAGCTTTCCTTCAGGAAAAGATTATCTAGAATGGCAAATATTCACAAAGTAACAAGTTAAAACCAATGTATCAAAGACAAACTTGTGACTCTGAAGTTTCCTAAGCAGGTGGAATTTTCGAGTTCTATTTTACAAATTGATGGTATAGAAACAGGTATTTCTCCTTACAGAAGTGCTCCCCAAACACTAAGTTAGAAACAAAAAAGTTAAAATTCTCCTGCCATCCCAACTTTTGGCTGAGACTTACTACTTGCTAATGTTTTCAGTCTTCCTGCTATTCAATAGGAAAGGTACCATAATTGGCTACTTCTCCCGCCCTGCTTTACTTAGGATTTTAGGCATGTTCCACCATGACAGAATATCATCATTCATTTCATGTTTGACAGGTGGCATGGTGTAATCACCTGGAGACCAGACCTTAGAGCCAGACCCGGGAGCTCAGAGTCCAGCTTTCCCACTTACTAGATATTTGACTAAGAAGTTAACTAGTCTTTTAGTGCATAGATTTCCTCACCTAAGAAACAGGAATGATACCTACTTCTCAGGGTTCTTATGAGGATTAAGTTTGTTAATGTTTAGAAGTCACCGAGTACCCTGCATATGTTAAATACTATGTAAGTATTGGTTAAATAAATTTAAAGTCAAACATCCTGGCCAGTGCAAGGTCATGAGTTGATTCATCAGTATCAAAAATAAACTTTTTAAATTTTAAAAAGCTGAATGTTTACTATGCTCTAGGTACTGTGCTATATATGGAATAAACCATTATGTTTCATATTTTATAAAATGGCCAGTGTTACACAATCTCATTTATTAAGGTTCTTTGGTGTTCCCTCTTTAAAGACACAAGATCTGAGAAACTATAGAATCTGCTCATGGGTACACAGCTGGTAAATGGGTCTTTCAAATAAATCTTACATATCCTACGTCTCCCGTACCATAATTTTCTTTTCTCTTGAATTGGACCTACAGGAGTTAAGGCATCAAAGTTTCAATAAATACAAACCCATAGGCACAGTTCTAAGCATACAAATTTTATATAGTAGCTGTTCTTTTATCAACAATTATGTTGCTAAGTTAGTTTATTGCTCATTAAACTTTCTACTTTTCAAACTCACTCCACCACTGATTACAGCTATCAGCTTGCTAATCTTGAAGTATTAGTTTTCCCAAATGCTTTCAATTATTTGGGGAAGCATTTGATTGCACTAGTCATGCACTGATGGCTCCCAACGCTGTGGGAAGGCAAATTTTAGTCTCAATATGCACAAATAATTTGGAAACAATGCCTACTTTTAGCATAGCCACTAGAAGAGAGTACCATAAACTCACTTTTATTCACATAATTTATATTTGCATTTTACATTTATGTACATTTATATTTACTTTTTTTTTTTTTTTTTTGGCGGAACCGGGGATTGAACTCAGGTTCTTGCGCTTGCCAGGGAAGCACTTATTCCACTGAGCCATCTCCCCGGCCCCTATATTTACGCGTATGTTTATAATTTTTCAGAGTTTGTTCTAACAAATGTTATAATCTTCACTAACAAGACAAATGGACTTTGGAGTCAAAGTGAAACATGGCTTAAGTAGGAGACGAGAAGAAAAATGATTATTTATAACTAGGAAAGTACCCAGCACTAACACACATTGTGATGGGCAGGGCACAGAAGAGCAGTCTAGTGTGAGACCTCTGGGTTCTAGGACCTCGGACACGCCATTTCTCTTCCAGTCTATACTTAAAAGTGTGACCCCCTGACCAATCAACGGCATTGACCTCACCTAGTACTCAGTACCATGCTGGCAAAGATGGAGAGGAGCCAACAATTTGTTTGAACTGGCCTCATCCCACCATCCCTAATGCATGATACAAGGTGAGAGCCACTTCTCTAGGCTCTCAGTGTGTCACACTTACGACACTGAACAGTCTTGAAGCCGTGAAGTTACTGAACCGCATGTCATCATTGCTGAGATCACGCATGGCCAGTAGTGTTGCACATCTGTAATTCCAGTTACTCGGGAGGCTGAGGCAGGAGGATTGCAAGTTACAAGCCTGCCTGGGCCACTCCAATGGGTCGCTCCTCAAAATAAAAAGGGGTGGGAATGCAGCTGAGTGCTTCCCGGGCATACCTGAGGCCCTGCTAAATTTCTAATACCACAAAGGGGGCGGAAGAAGGGGGCAGCGAGGGAACATACACTAATGGGACAGCATGATGACTGTGTGAAAAATTACGGAGTGTGAAGCAGGGTGGTCCTGGAGAACAACTGCCTAACAGTGTGTTGGCTTTGTCCAGTCCATGCCTAACTCTTCTCAAGCAAAGGTGAGGCAACTGACAGGCAATTTACTAGACAGTAGATTGGTACAGGGTTAAAGCAGGAGTCCTGTGACAGCACTTTATATAAAGAGCTACATTATGGCGGCGGGGACAGCGCTACCTGCCACACAATTTCACTAAATCGCCTCATTGACTCTTCACAATCCTGAGCTAACAGCCATCCTCCGTGTACAGACCAGAAACCTGAAAAAGAACTTAAATAACTTGTCAAGAACGTCCAACTAAAAAGTAGCAAAGCACAGCAGCAAAGGTAACTTTCGGGGCTGAACGGACGGGGTGGCTCTTCGACGAGTGCGGCGAGGGGTAACTGAGGCAGCGTCGGCCCCTCGCGGGGACGCTCCCCGACGCCCGCCCGCGCCACGCTGCGGGGCGGAGAGCTGCGCCGACGGGCTGCGGGGCGGCAGCACGGGGCCGGGGCCAGGAAGGCGGGCACGCTCTTCAGCGAGGCAGGAGGAAGCAGCC